CCCTCTGATGCTTTGGAAAATAAATTGACCCCCCCCCTCCTCTTCTTTGTGGCGGCTTCTCAAATACTGGAATACTGCTATCTACCTCCATAGAGAGTTCATATTATTTAAACTACTGGCTGTCAGAAATCCTTCTTGACCTGCAGCAAATTGAGAGATCTACCAGTGCCTCTAGATCAGACTCCTGGCTCTCAGGCTGGATGCGTCACAAGCTGGCCACGCCCACACCTGGTTTAGCGAAGGGGTAAAAAGTCCCAATACGCGCCATGACAATATGAGTTTAGACATCTCTGCTCTAGATTTACCTTCTGCCCACCTTGTTGTAGAAGACTTGATTGTGGAATGCTGTGCTCCAATGGACCAATGATATGATACCTCACCATTTTGTTTTGCAGAATACTTTGAACACAACAGCTTTGAACAGTTTTGCATTAATTACTGTAATGAGAAGCTACAGCAGTTCTTTAATGAAAGGATCCTTAAAGAGGTAATGTAGAACATGCCAAGATATCAGGAGGTTCAGGAAAGAAACCAGATATGCTGTCCTAATTATTTGTTGATTTTTCTCTTAAATCTTGGTCAGCTTCACATATTACCTACAGCAATGTCAGGAGATATTTCATTGAATCTCACAAAACTCACATCTCCGGAATAATCCTCCATAGCATGCTGTTCTATCCAGGACTTGACACTAAAACATATGTGGTATCTTGTGACATTCACAGCTTAGCTTGACTTTTCAGCTAGGCAGAACACTCATAGGTCTAGTTTGGCCAGAGTAGAATCTTTGTTGTGGACAAAGAAATACGCCGCAATTGACTTCTCCTTGGTAATGAGAAGATGAAAGTGACTTTTATAGTCTTGGGATTAAAACTCCTGGCTTCTTCCTTCCCTAATTTATGGGTGCTTGGCAGAACATAATATCCTAGGTGGCTTTGAAGACAAGTGGCTGTCATGTTTTTACATAATGGCCATCTTCAGCCTTGAAATCATTGATTCTGGTTTCAGTCTTTTACAGCACAGTTCTTGCAGCATTCTTTTTCTTCTTACTTGGTGACTTGGAAACTCTTGTGTGAACACTTATTGAGGATTTATGTCTAAATCGATGTCATTATTATCCAGTGACATTTAGAGCACATGTGGCATGCTTGCAAAGTCCTTGGAAACTTGAAAGTGACAATATTCTAGTGCACGCTACAAGGAATGCTATGTTGTTATGCCATTAACACTGAAAAAGATCAACTTTATTCATATCTCTGAAGGCAGAGTGTTCATGATTCCTAATGTCTAGAATAAACATAAACAGGAATATTCGTGGCTTCAGAAAAATATGAAGTTTTTTTCTTTATTGATTTTCAAAAACAATATTAAAAAAATAAGCATATGAGAAAAAATATTAATGAAAAAAGATACGAAAAAGAAAAAAAAACAAGAAAGAGGTACCAAAAGAAAAAGTAAGAAAAACGGGAAAAGAATGATTTCAGAACATTTCTTTCTTTGGTACAGATATGGATTAAAAAAAAAATAAGCTTAAGTTTTTCAAAACAACTTCCAGCTACCGTATTTTCACCCATATAACCCGCGGGTTATATGCGGTTTTTACATGCACAGCACCCCCCTGCGGGTTATATGCGTGGGCGGGGTATACGGAAGATATTTTACACGATCGGAGGCTTGCACAGGCTTCTTTCTCCGTTTCTTCCCCCACCCCGATCTCAGCTGTTTCCTTCTCCTCCGTTCCTTTCCTCTTCCCCAGCTTGCGCAGGCTTGTTTCTCCGTTTCTTCCCCCACCCCGATCTCAGCTGTTTCCTTCTCCTCCGTTCCTTTCCTCTTCCCCAGCTTGCGCAGGCTTGTTTCTCCGTTTCTTCCCCCCCCATCTCAGCTGTTTCCCTTCTCTCTTACTCGTCGCGGGTTATATGCGTGGGCGGGGTATACGGAAGATATTTTACACGATCTGGAAAACCCGCGGGTTATTTGCGTGGGCGGGTTATTTGCGTGGGCGGGTTATATGGGTGAAAATACGGTATTTCAATTTTGGAGTTTTATATTCCCAAAGTCAAATGGCTTACCACACTAAAATACTTCATTACAGCATCAGAATGACAAGTTCTTTTTGAGTGGGATCAGCTTCATTGGAAATAAGTCACATTGAGTCAGAAGAATAGCAGTGCCATTAATGAAATCTGACATCTCAGGCATGGGTGCTTAACCCCATTGTAGGTGGTATGATCAGACAAGCTATTATAATTCTGTTTTTCTTACAGGAACAAGAACTTTATCAAAAAGAAGATTTAGGTGTTAATGAAGTACATTATGTGGATAACCAGGACTGTATAGGTATGTAAGTTTAGTATTGGAATAAGGTTTATATGCAAAAGCTCTATTTACGATGGCTTCTGTTAAATCTATACAGAACTATATCTAGTTTGGTTTTTTTTTTCTTATTCTTTAAAGCAAAATTAGTAACAATGACTTGGGGAAATGTTACCTCCCCCAAGGTTAAATTACTTAGAAATAAAATACTGTAATTGATACCTTTTGGATTTAACAAAAAGTCTATATTTTGTGGCTGGAAAGGTTGGGGAAGAGAAAGTGTAGAAAAGTATTTTTTAAGTTGGATGGAAACATTTGAATGTTCAACTTGAGTCTTCCCACTAAAATGCCTTGGGTTCCACCAAACCAAAATTTGAAGCTGGTTAATTAGCCTGGACCATTCATCTCGGTAATAGAGAGTTCATTTTACAGTGTATTAAACACTGGTTATTGGGACAAACCATATTTCCACAGCCTTAAAAGTCATGTTTACATGAAGAGAAGTGAACTGGAAGGCTCACTTGCTTTGTTAACTTGATGCTCTTTCAGGTAGAAAGCAGAAAAAAGGGTTACTTTTTTATGACTTTCTACCTGTAGCCCCAGCTGTATTTTCCATGGTTCTTCCCCCAGACCTTCCAAAACATACATTTTGTGGTAAAGAAGGTGTCAAGTTCAAGAATGGTGTTGTTTAGTGGGATCTGAGAAGTTTGCCTTCTTCCTTTCTGTGCCTGCTCTGTGGAACAAAATATCTGTTTGAACTTTGGATGTCCCTGTCCCTGTTATCTTTCTCTAATGCATTATTTTTCATATCATTTAATAATTAAATACATTTATTTGGTCATACATTATATAGAATATAGTATAATAGAGTTGAAGGGACCTTGGAGGTCTTCTAATCCAACCCCCTGCTCAGGCAGGAAACCCTATACATTTCAGACAAATGGTTGTCCACTCGCTTCTTAAAAACTTCCAGTGTTGGAGCGTTCACAGAGCTTTCATTCTGGAAGCAAGCTTGTTCCACTGATTAATTGTTGGCCAGCCATCCTGCAGATCATATGTCCCTGGGCAGCTAACAATACATAAAAAAATCCTAGGAAAAGTAAAGTCAACAAAACATTTTAAAAAGTGCTGCTACTAAACTAGGAAAACGTACAACAACATTTCATAAGTAATCTATCTCCCAACTTTGCTCCATATTCTGGAGCACATTCAGGTCTTCGGTGAGTTATGAAAAGCTGGCAGAGTCAGCCAATTTCATATTATCTTGGGGTATACCTGAGGACAGGCAGAAAAACCCACTTCCTAGATCCCATTCTTTACCCGAGGAGACCTGGAGCATCTCTCTCCTTTTGAACTTGGTGGGACAGGTATCAACCAAAGTGAAGCAGATTTACAGACAATCTGTAAGACTGCTGGCCCTGTTCCAGAAAGAACTTTATAGGTTGCCACCAACATCTTGAATGTCTTCTGGAAGTACACTCGGACTCATGGAATTAATATTTGGCTTTTTCCTGGACCAAGGAGTTTAGTGAGTCCATTGTTCTGGATATTGTGGATGTGAATATATGTATTGCCCCAGGCACAATGTTTGGGGGGAAGGGGAGGGGTTAATGATATTTTATTATTAATTTAAATTGTTGTTCATTCTACAATAATAAGTAATAAGAATCTTCTTGCTATCAACCTGGATATATTTCTTGATTACTATTGTTCTAGTATATTTGTAAAATGTTTATACAAAGCATTTCTGTATTTGATTTTACCATATTTTTTGTTCTTTTAATGCATATTTGTAAGCATCTACTGTCTGAATAACAGTAGAAACATGAGTATGAAATCATAACAGTATATTAGTGCAGTTGAGAATTTTGTTTAAACTGCAGCCACTCCAATAACTTGCAATCATTTGCATTTTAAATAATTTAATTTTAAATAGTCATACTGTATCTCTCTTGTGAGGCCGAAATTTCAATGGGATATAGAAAGTATAAGATTAATAGGATACATGCAAGTATTTTCTTATTTGGTTAACTTAGGTTTTTATCATTGCATATTATTTATGAAATAGCCTATGATTTTTATCATTCAAACAGATTTGATTGAAGCAAAATTGATAGGAATCCTTGATATTTTGGATGAAGAAAATCGTCTTCCACAGCCAAGCGATCAACATTTTGCTTCGGTGGTTCATCAGAAACAAAAACAACATTTCAGGCTATCAGTAGGTTTATTTTTTGAATTTAGATTGGTTGATTCCCCAGATGAATCCGCTTATATAAACAATTGTTTGCCTGAGATTGGCTTGTTTCCTTATTGCATTCTATCAGCTTCCCTTTAACTAAGATGTACACTTTCCAAGAATTGCATGGCTACCTTGTGAACCCAGAAAAAGACCATGCTTTCTTTAAGGAAATAAAGGTAAATGCAACAAGTGCATTCACGCAAAAGCAAATACTTGTTTCAAAACCAGATGGCTACCCTTCACTAACAGAGAAGATGACTGTGGTAGGGAGACAGTGAAAGTGGAAAGTCATTTCAGTTTGGTGAAGTCCCTGGAATAAAGAATTTTGTGAGATCTTGATGACCATGCCACTCTAGTTATGAAATTATTTGCTTTGTGGAATTCATTGCTATAGTTCCTAAAATAAAATTGTGACAAGTTCTTTAGACACCTTTCTACCTACCCACGTGGCACAAGAGTTTGATGCCAATCGTGTTATATTAAAGTCTAGAGTAGCATATTTCAAGAATAACACCATAGTTTAGGTCAGTGGTTTTTTTAAAAACTTGACAGCTTTATGATGTGTGGACAACTCCTGGAGCTGTCAAGGTTGAAATACACTGGTTTAGGTGTTGGACTGGTAATAACAACATAGAAATCCACCTTCAATAATGGAAACACCATAAGTGATTTCGGGCCAGTCCAATCTTCCTCACTTTTTTTGTGAGCATAAAACAAAGAAGAACCACTTCAATCTTGAATCCCCGGAGAAGAGGTGGAAACTCAGTCTAAAGGATAAGGAGAAATAGAATTTGGAGCCTGTATGGCATTCTTTCCAGGGAGAAATATTTGGGACAGAACTTTTCTCTGTATATCTATAGGAAAACATGTTTGAATATTTAGACATGTAGTGGTTACAGGAGGAGAAGCTTGAGGCTCAATTCTCCCCTGCGGGATGATTTTTAGCTAGCTGTTCTCTCTCAGTTTAGTCTAACACAGAGAGCTATTGTGGCATTTAAATCGAGATTCCCACATAAGCCGGGCTAAGCTGGTAGACCCAAAAGGATAGAACTACATCAATAATAAATAAATCTTTATTTGAAAAGGCTGTGGCCAAGCATTGAAAGGGCCTACATCGTTATGCCTAAAAATGTCATCATTGAATACAAACTACAAAATCCTTTGTGGATTAGGTGAAATTACAGTTGTTGTTGTTGTTGTTGTTGTTGTTTTAAAGTGAGCTAGATGTGACCTTTTAGGATCTTTGTATCCCTACCTCCAAGAAAATGGCAGGAAACAGCAATTGTGATGGCAATATAGTTATCGTAATTTATTACGTATGTCACCATCCAAAGATGGTGCTCCGTAGGGTTGCTTTCAAAAGATTCAACAGAAGTTATATATGGTCTAAAATGTGGGTGCAAACTGATGACTTGGGTAGATTGCGGTACAGGTGATTTTGAATTAATTCAGTGACTTATTTCTAAATTCAGTTAAATTACTGATCGTTTTAATGCTTAGAGCCTAAACTGCCAGGGATCAGATTATTAGATCTGCCTTGTTCCACATACCTGATCTGTTTGTTAAGATGTACTTCAAAAGCTCTTTTTCCTTTTTATGTATTCAAGCTAGTGCCATTTAACAATATTAACTAAGAGCCAGTTGAGACCATTTTAACCAGTATATTGCCACAGGATGACCTTGCTGCTGGATTTTCTTCACAATAAAATGTTCTTTTAAGTCTCATTGGTGTTTGTTATGAGTTCTTGCAGTATTTTGTTTACATCTGTATATATCTTAAATTACATTTCTTTTTCACCTCAGATACCCAGGAAGTCTAAATTGGCTGTTCATCGAAATATTCGTGATGATGAAGGATTCATCGTCAGACATTTCGCAGGAGCAGTTTGCTATGAGACGGTAAATTAATAGCTGCTGCTCTTTCTTTAATTGTTTTTTTAAAAAGTGTTAAGCCGAGTGTTAAGTAGAGCCGAGGTGGCACAGTGTTTAGAGTGCAGCACTGCAGGCTACTTTAGCTGTCTGCAGTTCAGCAGTTTGCCTGTTCAAATCTCACCGGCTCAAGTTGACTCAGCCTTCCATCCTTCCAAGGTGGGTAAAATAAGGACCCGGATTGTTGGAGGCAATATGCTGACTCTGTAAACCGCTTAGAGAGGGCTGAAAGCCCTATGAAGCGGTATATAAGTCTAACTGCTATTGCTATTGCTATGACTAAATGCTGAAGTGGTATATAAGTCTAACTGCTATTGCTAT